ATTTAGATATACACTTTCCTAGACAAGAAAAAGCTATAGGAGTTTATCACCATCAAACCAGTATTATATGAAATGTTAAAGGGTCTTCTTGAAGAAGAAGATAAAAAATATGAACAATAAAATGGCAATAAATGCATATCTACCAACAATTAAATCTACAAATGAAACGAACAAGCAGAATAGAAACAGACACACAGACACAGAGAACTTTCTGTTGGTTTCCAGATAGGAGGGGGGCTAGAGGGATGGGTAAAAAAGGTGAAGGAATTAAGAAGTATACATTGGTTGTTAGATTGATGAACCTCAAAGGGAAGAGGGGAGGAATGGGGGAAGAGATAAACCAAAGAACTTCTATGCAGATATACATAAGCAATCGACACAGACAACAATGTGGGGAAGGCATAGGGGGGTGGGAGCGGGGAGGAGGGAGGTCAATGGGGGCAAAAATGGGGGACATCTGTAATACATTCATTCAACAAAAGATAAATTTAAAAAAAAAAAGATGAGCCAGAGAATCACTAGGGCAGAGTTACAGCAAGTGTCTTTAGATAGGGTAAGTCTAAAAGTCTTGTCTGAGGAAATAACACTCAAGCTGAATGAGAAAGAATAAGAACAAGGGAAAGTTTCCAGGCAGAGAAAACCCACAGAATTCACCAGCAGGTCCACATCTCCAAAGAAACAATGTAAATATTCCTTTTCTCTCCTAACATCTGGATACTCCAACCTGCTTTCAATGTTACAAAAAAGCACCTGGAGAGCACCGTGCACCGCAGCCTTACTCTTCTTCCCAGTCCTGGTATTCCACACTGTGACAAGAAAATGAACAGGTGGATGAAGGGTTAATCCACATGAATCTGGAAATGGTTCAGGGTGATGTCAGAAAAAAAAAAAAAAAAGGAGGGGAGGACTTCAAAAAACTCCCTCTTTAAAACCAATGAGAAATCTGGTAAAAATGGTCTGGATCAACTTTTTCAGACTCTGGAAATTAACCAAAGATTTGGAACAATCAGGGAATGCTTATCCAAGAAAAATAGCTGAATCTTGGTAAAAACAGCAAGTTTAATGGCATTTTAACTTGCTCTGTTGCCACCCCGTCTCCGCAGCTCCACAGTGACCTTGAGCCAATAGCCTGCAGCCACCCTGCAGTCCGCAGCCCAGCAGCCAGCAGAGGGGGCAGGACAGGGTTAGAATTACTCTGAAACCTCATTCCTAGAAAATTCTCATTATTTGACCTGTCTGGCAAATCCCACTTGCAGGACTGTCTTGATCTGACCTGACTTGGAGCTCCCTAGTGTAAAAAGTCTTTTCCTCAGGGATGTTGGCTAAAAAATTTTTAAAGATAATTGTTTAACTTGGCAGGTACCTGAGGTAGTAAATACAGTTGGGACAAACAACAAGTAAACCAAAAATATTAAAATAAAAAGCTAAGAAATGAGATGTCCTAAGGGTGTTGAAGATGTCTAGTGCATTCTTGGAAATATTGACGGTCATGCACTTGTGTAGGATTGAACAAATGCCCAGGGCTTTGCTCATGCTCAGAAAAGACCCGAGAAGGCCCAGTGTCTCCCAGACGGATGACTGAGGCTCTGTGCAACAGGGGTGAAAGCTAAGGCAGAGTTGTCAGCTGCCCGGCTGAGTGCTGAAGGCAGGCGTCAACAAGCACCCAGAATCCCTTGGCAAAGAATGGGAGACTTGTTGGTTCCTAGTGAAAGAAATCTCTGTCCAAGTAGTAGCTGACCACTAAACTAACAAAGCAGAGACATAAGTGGCCACATATGACAAAGAATACAAACTTGACAGAATTCGTTTTAACAAGTCACTAAACAAAGTACAATAAGTAGCAATAACAATAAACAATAAATGAGAAGAGAGGAGAATCTAATTTCCAGAGTTGCTACATTATATTAAAATACCCAATTTTCAGCCAAAAAAATTATAAAACATGCAAAAAAATATGAAATAAGACAGGAAACAAGAAAATATAGACTATACACAGAGAAAAAAAACAATCAATAGAAACTATCCCTAAAGAAACCCAGATATTGGGCTTATTAAAAAGACTTCAGGTATTTTAAATATAGTCAAAGAACTAAAGAAATCATGTCAAAGAACTAAGTAGACAATATCAATAAAAAGATAGAAATTATAAATAATAAAAATTAGAACAGAAATAAATAAAATAGAAACTAGAATATTAACAGAAAAAATCAACAAATCCAAAAGTTAGTTCTCTGTAAGTACTATTGGCAACCCTTCAGCTACACTGACTAAGGGGGGAAAAAAAGAAAAAGAAAAAGGACACATTCCCAAAATGAAGATGGGAGAGATTTTCCTTGTAACCTAACAAAAATAAAAAAGATTATGGGGAATACTATGAATAATTGTATGCCAACAAGGCAAATAACTTAGCTGAAATGGGCAAATTCCTAAAAAGATACAAAGCTGACTCAAGAAGAAATAAATAATCGGAATAGGCCTATATTAAGTAGAGATTGAATTTAAAAAAAACTCTCTCACAAAGAAAATCTCTGGACCACATTACTTCACTGATCAATTCTACCATATAGTTAATGAAGAATTAACATCAATCCTTCAAAAACTCTACCAAAAAATAGAAGAATAAGAAACATTTCTGAAGTTATTCTATGAAGCCAGAATTATCTTAACACCAAAACAAAACCAAGAAATCACAAGAAAATTATAGACTAATATCCCTTATTGATGTCAGTGTAAAATTCCTCAACAAAGTATTCACAAACTGGATCCAGCAATACATAAAAATTATATGTTTTATATGGATTATACACCATGACTAAGTAGGCTTTATCCCAGGAATGCAAGGGTGGTTCAACATCTGAAAAATCAATTAATGTAAAACATCGCAGTAAAAAATATTATGTTAAGTGAAAGAAGCCAGACACAAAAGACCACGTATTCAATAGTAGCCTTTACCCCTAAACTTGTTTTATAAGAAAGTTGGCAAAGTGTGGCTCTAGAAGTGAGTTTTGAGGCCAGAGAGATGCAGAACTGGAAATTCACTGAGGATCTCTACCCAGAAGAAAACAGCGATCTTGTGACAGAAAAGAACATAAAAATGGAAAAACTGCCACACTGTATGCACTCCAAAGTTCTTTCTTTCACAGGATCCTCTGAACGGGTACATGGATATCTTCCTTGATATCAACCGTCAAAGCTCTGTGGTCTCCTCTCACATCTAAACTCCTGAGCCACATAGCTCATGCATGCATCAGAATTGCTTCTATAGAAACACGGCAAGAAATGTTTGATCTATTTTTTATAAACTTTCAATTCTTTAAGAATCTCATAAACTGAAAGCATTGACATAGTAATAGCTATTACACTGGGATTACTATTTGAAGGAGCAATTTTCTACAAAAGGAAAATAATAGGTTCTAAAAATAAACCAGAACATGGAGAAAGAGGAAAGGTCTTCTCTCTTTCCACCAGAACTGTGTTCAGGGGGTCAGATAGGTTTCCCACATTACTCCCACCATTCCCATCTGTACCTTCTTATTTCCTACAGATCAAGAAGCTGGAGAGCCCTAAGTCAGGGGAAGGCTCTAGTAAGGAAATGGTTAGGGAGAACTTGGGACAATCAAGGATGCATTCCCTCTAAGCATATGTAGACACGCAGGCATCCACATGCGTTTCCATCAGCTTTGTAGATGGAAGGTCCAGGAAGGCAGCCTTCTCTAGGTTCACCGTGCTATCTCCAGACCTAACCTGTGAGCGTTGTTGGTCCCCAGTGATTCTGATGCTCACCATTTCTGTGAGATGAGACCCAGCACCTGCTGATTCATACTCAAGGCTCAGAACAGTGGGGCTCAGATATTCATGGTGGTCAAACTAATTTGCTTTTTGGTTTAACCCAGAAAAAGCAGTCAAAATCAATTAAAAATTCCAAATAATATATTTTTAGCAATCATGAGAGGGAGGGAAAAATAAGTCTTCATTGTCATCATCCTTTTTTGCCTATTATATAGTTTTCTTCCCAAAAAGCCAAGTCATTTGTTACTCTTTTTATATTAGAATACTTAATTTGACATATTAGTTAAGGTTTTTTCAAAAACCTACTCCCAAAACAGGTCAAATTACACTAATTAAAAAAGTAGTTTAGCCCTCTCTACTCAAGATTATTTCTTCTTTTTAAAACAAAATAAGAAAAGAGCTAGAATCTGAACCAAAAAGGGAAAAGCAGTAATTCCTGTCTGTGGTTTTAACCAAAATCTCTAACAACTGTAACTTTTAAAATAATTCCTTTGGCCCTGGCTGGTTTGGCTCAGTGGTTAGAGTGTTGGCCCGCGAACCAAAGAGTTGTGGGTTCGATTCTGGTCAAGGGCATGTACCTTGGTTGCGGTTCATCCCCACCCCTGGTCAGGGTCATGCGGAGGCAGCCAGTAGATGTGTCTCTCTGACGTCAATGTTTCTTTCTCTCTCTCTCCCACTCTATCTGAAGATAAAAGGAAGAAATATCCTCAGGTGAGGATTAAAATAAATAAATAAATAAATAAAATAAAATAATTCCTTTGGTGGAAAAATGTTACCCCATCAGTACTGTTATGTAACATATGCACCAGGCACCAGAGCACTTTCATAAAACATGGAAAATCCTGAATAAAAAACTATAGACTTGTTGCTCAATTGAGGTAAGGGGCCAGGAGATCAGAAGAAAAAGCCCTGCACATCATACACTTATGTTTATGTCGGGAAGTCAGGCAAGTGATCATCTCCTTACCATTTACGTCATCACTTGGAAAATAAGAGAGTGAGGCAAAGTGACCTCTAAAATCCTTGATGGTTATTAAATTCTAGGATTTCACCTGACCCATGTATGTACTAAAACACATAGCAAATTATGTTCCATTTTGGACCATATTGAATTTCTATAAAATTACAGGCATTTGCTTTGCCCCTGATGTGTAATGAGCACACATTATCAGATGTCCCTTCAATTATGTAATGTAATTCAGTTTTAGTACCTGCGGTGCCAAACACAGAAGATATGCTTTCCATAATGGCCTTGTGGATACTGGGTTGAGAGAGGACAAATCCAATGGTCCAAAATGCAATCTTGAAAAGAAAAACATATATTTTAAAAAAATACAACCTTCTTTGAAAGTAAACAAAGGCATACTCAGTATTAGGGTCAAACATTAAAAAGAAACAAGGAAAATGTTTAAATTAAACTTAAAAGTATGTTAGTGAAGAGCATCTTTAAAAACAACTAGATTTTATGAGCAAAAGAGATGTTATTTCTCTCTCAGAGGTCCAATTTATAATCTTATTCCCTCACTATAATTTCACTATATTGTTTATACAGATTAATCGATCTTCATTAAAAATACAAAAAAATTAAATTTTTTTTTACTAATAAACAACATAAAATATTACATAGGCACATTGTGAATATTTAAAAACAATAAATTGGCCCTGGCCAGTTTGGCTCAGTGGTTGAGTGTCGGCCTGCAGACCAGAGAGTCCTGGGTTCGGTTCCCACTAGGGGCACATACCACAAAAAAAAATTTTTTTTTAATAAAAAATAAAACAATAAATTGTGCCACTTAATGTTAATCCAAATCCAAAACAAAAATATTTTTCAAGATTTCATTTTCTTGAAATACAATCAAACTGTCAAATCATATATTCTGCAGGTGAAACATGACAATTTTAAATAAGCTCCAGAAACTAGACCTAAAATCTCATAAACTAAATTGTGAGAGTACTCAATATCAAGAACAGGGTCCTTTCACACCCTATCAAACAAGGTACTCGGAGTCCACAGGGAGTTTCTGAATGTAGTATGCTTACAAGTTCTCCCTCCAGACCAAACAGAAGTATTGCAAACCTTCTCTCACTGTGGTGTTATAAGATCAAATCAGCCCTGGCCGGTTTGGCTCAGCAGTTGGAGTGTCGGCCGGTGGACCAGAGAGTCCGGGGTTCGGTTCCCACTAAGGACACGTACCTCAGTTGCAGTTTGTCCCCGGCCCCGGTTAGGGTCGTATGGGGGGCAACCACTCAGCATGTCTCTCTCACACTGATGTTTCTCTCTCTCTCTTCCTCCATCTCTCCCTCCTGCTCTATCTGAAGATAAATGCAAAAATGTCCTCAGGTAAGGACAAAAAAAGAAAACAACTAAAAATTTAAAATAAAATCACACCACCATACAGCTCAAAAAGCTTTCCCTCAATTTAGGTAAATGGTCTCACTTCTATTTTTAGGTTACACAATACTGGAAACCTGTATAAAATCATTAAAAGAAGCTTGAATTTTGCTTTTGTTTTTTGTTTTTGTTTTCATTTTTTTCAGTAAACATATACTGTGAAAGAAATTTCATCTAGGAAAACCAATTCCCAAATGATTCAGGCAACACTATGTCACTTAAGTCTGTTGTCCTTTTTGTGAAGTAACCTTAGGTACCTTAAACTAATTCCAATACTCCCCTCTGTGGTCAAAAGAGGAAGAGCAATGGTGTGAAAGGAAGTGTTCCCACAAAGCCAAGTTCAGCTCTGCTTGTTTGCCCCTCTGCAACGTTAGAAGGCAGTGAAGGGATAATTACGGTTAGAGCAGTGAAGGGGTAATTACGGTAAAGCCAGGCCATTAGAATCGGAGACCCGCTCTCTGTGGCCTTTTCCAGATTATGAAAGAATCACCCTAGAGATCACCTCGAGTATTTTTACAGTAGAGGTAAGATGCTCAGAGCTCTCTGCCTGTCTCCCCACTCAGGCCCTTTCTACTATTTTCTATAGATGGAAGTGGTGAATTACTGTATTTCAATAATAATGTGACTCCATACTCAATTCATCTTATTTAAAGAGTCGGAGATCATGCTGCAGGGGGAAATCTTAGTGATCGTACATGGATTTTCAGTTATGCAAAAGAGGGGTCTAAAGTTGTATGTGCCTAGAGTTTCAGAGATTCACTAAAATTGGGTAATACTTATTTTTATTATAACAAACACAAAGAAGTCAGCTAAACTATAAATAGCTGCACGATGGTACTAGTTATCATTTTTAATGCTTTTTTTCTTAATAGATTTTGCTTCTAAAAATCTTGGTTCTCTACTTTAGAAAACCAAATTACTTTTTTAGAAATAAAATACATGTAAAAAAGAGTAAAAAGTAATAAGTTCATATACATTACTGAATCAACAAACAAGAAGTGACCTTGAGGTCTTTGTATGCCCACATGTGGGAAAGGAGTTAAAAAGTGCTACCCAAAGTACCAATGAATATTTTCCCAAAGGGGTCAAGTTCACAGTAAGGGCAGGGAAGCAAGAAGGCCCACCTGGCTCAGTGACCTTCAGGAGCAGCCCCTGTTTTGGAGAGGTAAGAACAAAGGCGACAGGAACAGAGAGAAAAGCCCTGCCTTGCTGTGTCATAGAGGATGAACTGAGTATGTCCTTCAGCATCATTTAATCTTTTATTAAAAAAAAAAAAAAGTTAACAAATCGTGATTGAGTCTCTGTAACATGTTAGATAGTCTTCGACCGATCATGGTAAACACAAATTTGCACAGGATGTAATTCCGTGCCCTGGCCGGTGCGGCTCAGTTGGTTGGAGCGCTGTCCCATGCACTGTAGGGTGGCGGGGTCAGTTCCCCCCAGTGCTGGTTCAGTAACCAGTTGGGGCACATGCGCAAGGCAACTGATTTATGTTTCTCTCTCACATCGATGTCTCTCTCTCTCTCTCTCTCAAAAATCAATTTAAAAAAAAAAAAAAAAGCTTAAATAAAAAGACATAATTCTTGCCCAAAGAACTTTCGCATCTAGCTGGGGATATGAGATGAAAACAGCTAAATACAGAGGAAGTGGGCGGCACAGACAGTAAATGCCATGGGAGTTGCGGGTGTGGGGTCAGGGTTACTACCGAAAGTGTCAGTTTTGAGACTGGACTGCAAAAATGTTCTTCAGAAGTTCATTTGGCAGTCAGAAATTTCTGGGAACTTAGAAATGGTTTTAGCATAGAAACAATTTCATAAGTCGTGGTTAATACCTTGGGCCGGTCCCCCCAAGTTCAGCTAGGTGATAACGAAGCCTCCTAGCGCCCCGTACCGAGCCTGTCTGAAGCTGAGCTCTGTGGCGGAGCACAGAGTAGGACGCAAGGTCAGAGTGTGATCTGGGGACCCAGAAATGTCCCGTCCCGCCACCTACACTTCTGGCAGAGTTTTCAGCAGCTCTCCAGACGGGTGGGAGATCACAGGAACCAGGACAGCAGTGGACGCTCCTACCCTGGGACATTTAAGTGGTCATGTTTTGGAAGCCAGGACAGTTGACTAACGGACCACTGAAAATAATGATTGATTGAAACCACGGTTTTACTTTCTATAAGAGAACAAAGCTAACACTGATTGGGCACCTATCCTTTGCCATGGATTGTTGGCCATTTTACCAACATAATGCTCACAGCTACCCTGTCAGGTCAATATCATTAAACCTCTATTACAGATGAGGACACTGGGGCTCAGAGAGGTTAAACAATTGGCCTACTGTCACCCAGTACTGGGACTTGGCTTTGGACCTGACCTACAGCCTTCCCAGGGTCTCTGCCCACACACCAGCTGCCTCTTGGAAGTGCCAACAAGAGAAAGTGAGATTGAACTTTCACTAGTCATCAGACACTTCCTTTCTCAAATTAATGATGCAAATCCTTTGAGACCAATGCCAGGAACACATTCCAGAGAGCTGACTTCCCCGAGTCAGATCAATGGGGCTTTGTGTCTCTTTCTTCCGGGGGACCTTCCTAATGGGATTGTGACAATCGATCCTGGGGCAGGAGTGGCTGTTTTGTTGCTGCTTTTGGAGTTGTTTTGATGTTGCCCTTTTAATTTTGCTATTGCTTAATATGTTGCCAAGAAAATTACGTAAGGACAAATCAAAGATTAACGTTTGTGGTATATAAAGAAGGGGAAAGAATTAATTAAACTCTTTTATATATTCTAGTGGCTGACACACATTTGGGCAGAGAGGCTGGAATTCCCATTTCTGCCCTTTACCCAGTAAGTGTTGCAACAGGGTAAAGGAAACTAGCATATCAGTATTTCGAAAGCCTTTAACAACCCTGACCTTCATAAGGTTACATCTTCTTTCTCCTTGTTAGAAGAAAAGGAAGGAAAATGACCACATTTATCATTAGAAATTATCTGAATGTCCCTGTTAAGTAGAAAACAAACATATAAAAAAAAAGGTCACCCTTCAGCTTCTCAGATGATGTAAGTGCAGTTCAGGCTAATGGGAAACCCTCCCAACACAGGACACCGGTGTGCCTCAAACATGAAGAGGCAGACAACTCTCATGACGTTAATCTAGTTTATAACAGCTTTAAAAAAAAAAGTTATACAGTGTCCGCTCTCTTTAGAAGCACTGTGAGTTCCAATGCCACCAGCTCCGATCACGGGGGCGCGACAGGGCCAAGATGCCAGGTGCACTGCAAATGGGATGGTGCACAGGAGGAGGGGACGGGAGGACACAGAACCCATATTCCCCCGGTACCAGACGGGCTTATTGCAAATCCTCACAGCAACCTTGTAGGGAAATGAGAGCTACTATTAACAAGGACCCAAGTCCTAGGACCTTGCGACGAGTTTCCTTATCATACCCTTTCACCGACAAGGAAATGGAAGCTCAGAGTTGAAATTACCTCCGTGAGATTCTATGGCTGTGACCGGGGTTACCTGGATTCAAGTCCAATTCTATCTGAAACTCTCTGCTGACCTACTCTCTCCCCAGTAAAAGGCGGGGTCAAGCCTGGTTCATCTCTGCAGTACCAATGCTAAGCACACTGGCCAGCAGAGAATGTGCTCCAGAAGCAGGAGTCATCACAACAGACCCCAGAGTGCGGGCTTCTCCCGTAGCCTGCGACCTGCTGCATCTGAGACCCAGCCTACACCCAGGTCTCTGCTTCGCCTCCTCAGTGATCTTACAGGTTTCACCACATGTTCAGTTTTATTTTTCTATCTCACAGACAATTCCACTGCAGTCTTTTTCTTCGCCATAAGAAGTGAAAAAAAAAGAGGAACATTGAAAGTGCACAGACAGAAATGCACCCCTTAGTTTACTAATATACTTACGGGGACGGCATTGGACAAAGAAGCCCAAAGCAGTAGGAGCCCGTAATTGGGACTTTGCTCACTGGTTTCCGTCTCTATGATATCCAGCAAAGCCTGCATTAGTGTCTGTTTAAGAGAGAAAAATACTGTCAAACCACAGCTATGTGAAAATGACTGATGCTACTAAATAAAAGAGCATGCATTTTTCTTTTTTTTTTTATCCTCACCCAAGGACATTTTGCATTTATCTCCAGATAGAGCGGGAGGGAGAGAGGGAGGAAGAGAGAGAGAGAAACATCGATGTGAGAGAGACACATCAAGTGGTCACCACCCACCCGACCCCAACCAGGGCTGGGGACAAACTGCAACGGAGGCACGTGCCCTTAGTGGGAACCAAACCCGGGACTCTCTGGTCTGCGGGCCGACGCTCTAACCACTAGGCAAAATGGGCCAGGGCACATTTTTCTTTTATCCAAAAGGCATTATTTCTGCCATTTCCAGGTTTGCAGTCTGAGGCAAGCGAGGGATGTACATACTTCCTCCCTGTGCAGTAATTAGGAGCAGGGACTCTGGAGCTCAACTCCCTCACTCTATTGCTTCAAAATCTGCCTTAGGTTTTTTTAAGACTTTTTTTTTTTTTAGATTTACAATAAAATTGAGAGGACAATACAGAGATTTTCCATATAACCCTCACCCACACGTGCACAGCCTTCCTCATTATCAATATCTCTCAGCAGTATATTACATTTTCCACCAAGGATGAACCTACATTGACACCTCATAATTACCTAAAGTCCATAGCTTACTTTAAGGTTTACTCTTGGTGGTGTACATTCTATGGGTTGGGACAAATCTATAATGACACACATCTATCATTACGATCCATTCGTATGCTGAAGGGCATCTCGGTCACTTCCAAGTTTCGAGCGTTATGAATAAAGCTGCTATAAGCACTGCTTTTGCTATATCCCCAAATTTAGTAGGTTTAGTTTTCATTTTCATTTGTTGAAAAATATTTTTAATTTCTCCTACAATTCCTTCTTTGACCCATGATTTATTTAGATGTGAGTGGTTTAATCTCCACATGTTTGGGGATCTTTCTGTTACTGATTTCTAGTTAAGTTTCGTTGTGTCTTGAAAGTAGGTTTTTATATGATTTCTAGTCTTTCAAATTTGTTAAGCTGTGTTTTATAGCCAAGAATGAATAGGCATAGCACAGAGGATTTTTAAGGCAGTGAAAATACTCTATATGGATTACTTAGAAAGAAGATTTATGCCATTGATTCTATATTAGAAAAGAAGATAGTTTGAAATCAGTAATCTAAGTTTCCACCTTAGGAAACTGAAAGAGAAGCAAATTAAACCCAAAGTAGGTAGAAGAAAAGAAAGAAGAATTTGAGCAGAAATCAATGAAACTGAAAACAAGAAATCAATAGAGAAAATCAACCAAATCAAAAGCTGGTTCTTTAAAAAGGTCAATAAAATCAACATGCCTCTAGCCAGGCTAAGAGAGAAAAACAGAGAGACAACACAAATTACTAATATCAGAAATGAAAGAGGGGACATCATTATAGAGCCCATGAAAATTAAAAATGGAATAAAGGAATACTTTCAACAGTTCTTTGCCACTAATTAGATAATCTAGATGAAACTGACCACTGCCTTGAAAGACTCAATCTGCTAAAACTCTCACAAGAAGAAACAGACTATCTAAATTGGTCCACATCTATTAAAGAAATGTAATCCACAATTAATAAATTTTCCAAAACAGATAGCACCAGGCTCAGGTGGGTTCACCAGTAAATTCTACCAAACATTTAAAAATGAAATTATACCAATTCTCTACAATCTCTTTCAGAGGACAGAAATAGAGGGAATACCTCCTTACTCATTCTATGAGGCCAGCATTACCCTAGTACTAAAACCAGAAAAAAGATATTATAAGAAAAGAAAACTATAGACCACTATCTCTCATAAACACAGATACAAAATCCTCAACAGATTATCAGGTATTTATTCGCCTGTGGGTCTCTCCGATTAGGGGGCAGTGGTTTGCCCTGTGTCCTCCCTCTCTGATGGACCCAAGAAGAGTTGTTGATTTTTCAGTCTGTTCTACTTGTTAGGACGAAATGGCAGTTTCCAAGATTTTTACATGTGGAATTGGAACTTGGTTTAGTTACAAGTTACTTTAAGTTTTCTGTGTCTCAGTTTCCTCATCTATAAAATGGTCAAAGGATTGTTGTGACAATTCAGTGAATTACCATTTTGACAAATATTACTTAAAAAAAATAAAATAAACCTCTACTCTTAGGAAAAGAAACACAGCTCTCTGGAGCATTGAGGAGAAAGCCCCAACCCCCTCCGCTGTGAAGATTCTCAGGCACGGGAGAGGAAACTGCTGAGCCAGTGGATTATAAACACTGTAACTCTCTGAAACCCCGTGGAAAACTGAAATTTGCCAGCTCAGACTATGTCCCTATCCAAGGTTACCTACTCTGGTTACCCTCAGGTCATCATACAAATACCATGAAGGTATGTTCTTCATTGAAAGGTTTCCCCAGATTTGCCTATGCCTGTTCCTCACCATGAGGAAGAAGTTCAGACACCAGAGCATTTTCATTAAGTTACCCCTGCACTTGGAATCTTTTTTCCCTTTATTGATACATTAGAGAGACAGAAGAAGGGAGAGGGAGAGAGATGGAAACACTGATGAGAGAGAACATCGAATGGCCGCCTCCTGCATGCCCCACTGGGGGTCAGGCTCACAACCTGGGTCTGTGCCCTGACCAGGAATCGAACCGGCCACCTCTTGGTGCGTGGGTTGATGCTCAACCACTGAGCCACACCAGCCAGGCTGGAATCTTAAATAATTCAAGTTTAGGTGATAGAAATGACGGTAGCTAGGGTCTAGTCACTGCTTGCTAAGGCAAGGACTGTTTTAGGTGCTTTGCACGTATTTAATCCATTTGGTCCTCACCCAACTCCAAGAAATAAATACTATTATCTTCACCACTTTCCATGTGAGGACATTGAAGTACAGTTAAGTTAGGGGACCCTGCCAGGAACATACATATTTAGGTGGCTGGGCGGGGCTTCAGACCGGAGCCTGGGGCTGACTCTGGAGCCCACACTCGGCCACCACACTCCACAGCCCACTGGAGGCACTGCCATCATCCCGTGGGTTAGGGGTTAAGAGAACTGCCTTGTACCCCAATGAGCAGTTTTGCTCCAGATCCTACAACACAGAAAATAACTATTAAATCACTATGAAAGAAAATACAGCCCTGGCTTGTCTGGCTCAGCGGTTAGAGCATTGGCCCTCGGACCAATGAGTCTCAGGTTCGATTCTGACCAAGGGCACGTACCTCGGTTGCACTTTTGGTCCCCGGCCCTGGTCAGGGTCATGCGGGAGGCCACCAGTCGATGTGTCCCTCTCACGTCAATGTTTCTCTCTCTCTCTCTCCCTCCCACTTTACCTGAAGATAAAATGGAAAAAATCCTCGGATGTGGATTTAAAAAAAAAAAGAAAATATATAATGAGAGATAGTCACTGTTCCTTACCAAGGCATGTAATGTTTCAAAAGTGATTAACCACTCTAATCCCTAGCTTTCTGGTTTTCATAATCCCTGGTTTTCCGGGTATGAAAGTTGTTGTGAAAAACAAATGAGAAATGAATTTGCACAATGTGTAACACTATGCCGGGCACAGAATAAGCAACCCAAAAATGTTAGCAGTGTTTTATTGTTATTGTTTTTTGTAACAATGAATTAGCAGAACTGAAAATAGTTTAAGTATAAATTTCATTTAGAGCTGGTTTCTATCATATTTACAATGGAAGCTGTTACAACACAAAGTTTATATTTCATGAAAAGTCCTATAAATGTATTTCATTCTTTTGATATGCTATTCTGTGGATGGAAATACTCGTTTAATATACATCTAGACTCACATGGAAGAAATCACCACATTTGATATTTATGATGTGACAAAATGGGTGTATAATATTGAAAAAAACAAAAACACTTTTCTCAGTCTTCCGCTTAAGTAGGCCATTGAAATCTACTTATGCAGAACACAACAGAATCTTTTATTTTCTTCTTAGCCCACATTTCTTTTTTAAAATGTGGGTGTCAAAATGAAAAACTTCTGGAGGGAAACAGAAGCAATACACACAAAGATGAAGTTAAACTGCTCATGAAGGTCACACTGAATTCTGTCCCAACGTCCTAAACACCGAATGAGTTTCAGCTAAGTTTAAAATGTGTCTTGATTCAAATAGGGAGTCACAGTGGCTATTATTTAAAAAGCCTCATTTCAGGGGGTGGAGGGAGGTGGAGGAGGGTATAAGAGGGATGAATGGTGATGGGAAAAAACCTCACAGACATAGATGGACGGTGGTAAAGGGTAAAGGGCCCCTGGCCACTGTGGCTCAGTTGATTAGAGTATTGTCCCATACGCTGAAAGGTTATGGGTTCAATTCCTGGTCAGGGCACATATACCTAGGTTGCAGATTCAACTCCTGGTTGGGGCACATATGGGAGGCAGCCAATCAATGTTTCTCTCTCTTTCTTTCTAATATCAATAAACATTATCTTCAGGTGAGGATTTTAAAAAAGGGGTGAAAGGGGTCAATTATATGGTGACAGAAGATCTGACTTTAGGTGGTGGGCACACAATGCAATATACAGATGACGTATCATAGAATTGTACACTAGAAACCAATATAACCAATGTCACCCCAATATATTTAATTTAAAAATAAAATAAAAAGCTTCATTTCTTCAGAGTAAGAAAACAGCAGCTTTGGCTGGACATTCAAAGCCCTTTTTGCTAGGCCCATAGATTCTGGATCTGAGTATAGTTTTACCCTAAATTCTGGAAAATAATGCAAACAAAATGTGTATTTGTCTGGGTCTGTTTATGAAATCAAATCATTAGCTGAAATGTAGCTTGTCAACAAAGGGCCTTCCAGCACAGCTTCCGGTCGCTTTCCTCGGAGGAAGGTAAACACCCAAGCACTCCTCTCTCCGAAGGCTGCTCTCCCCTCCAGTGGGAAGCAGAGACATCTATCACAACGCTGGCTATTCTAACTAAAAACAAACAAAACTTTTAATGTGATCTTTAAATATCTTTTTATTTTTATTCTTTCCTTTATTGATTTTAGAGAGAGAGGAAGGGAAAGGGAGAGACGGAGATAGAAACATCGATGAGAGAGAACATTGGCCGCCTCCTGCACGCCCCCCACTGGGGGTTGGGCCTACAACCTGGGCATGTGCCCTGACTGGGAATCAAACTAGCAACCTCTTGAGGCATGGGTCGACCCTCGACCACTGAGCCACACTGGCTGGACTTAATGTGATCTTTAAATACTAAAAGATATGAAGTGATATTTTTAAAAATGATAATAACAATGATAAACTTTCAGGTAGTCCTTACTATGCTCTAAGCACTTTACAAACATTAACTCATCTAATCCCCGCCACTCTATCAGGTAGGTGACCAAACCGAGGCAAGAGATTAAGTATCATCCCCAAGGTCATATCGCTGGGGGCTGCATTTGGGCCCAAGAAGCTCAGACCAAGTGTCTGAGGGTGGGTTTGGAGAACCAGGTCATTTTCAAAAGTTCCCAGAAATTCTAATGAGCAGCCAGGATAAGAGCCATTCATCAGCAAGCACTGGGAAGCACCTGGAAGGCTTACTAAACCACGCATCGCTAGGCTCCGCCCCAGAGCTTCTGTCTTCGTGGTCTCCAGGTGATGTTGGCACCTGGGTGCCACACCTGAAGAATCACAAATCTAGGACATGTAAGGCACTGACTCCTAGTGCCCAACTTTGAAAATTATACCACACTAGCTCCTTGCGTTTGAAGAGAGAACCAACTAGTGGCAACAAGAACCAAGTCCACATTGTAAAGCTTTATTATCTCACCTAAGTTACCTTAACTCCCGCCTGTCACTGTTGACACAGCCAATGGTACAATATATGAATAAAGAACCTCAGAATTTTGTTTTGTTTGGTGGTCTTTAGCCTCGGGTGTTTCTCGTATAGAACAGAATTAATACCTACCTCATTACTGGGGGGATGTAACAATAAAATAATGCATGTAAATGTGTCTAACACCAATGCTTGGCACAAAAATGGTATCTAATAAAGCTCATGATTTTTAGTGAAAATATACATTTAATAATCAGCTTATTATTGTCTTCATCTCATGTATTTTAGCAAAAATACAGTAAGGTATACTTACCATGGGATTATCTTTTTCAGGTATGTATGATTTTATATCTGGAATATTTTTCTCAAAAAATGCTAGAAGCCACCTTTTAGATTTTGACCAGTTTCTAGGTGAGAGGAAAAAAAGTGTGTATAAGTTCATTTGAAAGCACTTTAAGAGTAACAGGTCACAGAATGAAATAGGGGAAGTCTATGAAATTATTTCTTCTCCAAATTTTTCATCTTCAGTTAGGATTTCATGAGAAGTCTACCCTCAGACTTATTAGTCCACAAGGAAGATTGTGAGGTCTTTTTTTGTGAGGAAAATTTGTAGAGTCTTTTACAAACAAATGTTTGAATTCCTATAGGGTTGGCATTGAGTTTGAATAGAGGGCCCAGGATCTGCTTGATCTACTTTTACTTTGGCTGTTGTCACTTACGGAAGAATAAAAAGCTAGCACCGGGGATCCACTGCTAGATTAACCAGGTAAAGCAAATTGGCTATAATGTTTTTAATATTTTCTGATCACTAATCACTGTAGACCAACTGCCAAGAAATGAAAAAATCACAAGTTACTTTGCATTCGAGCCATTTCATCACCATGTATCTGAGCCAACTCTGAGACATGCATTTGTCCACACCTACTTTCGCCTCAAGGAGAATGAGGACGGGTCCGATTCTGAGACTGCCACACCTGACGATTTAACACAGGTCCAAACTATAATAATGAATGTGGCAATGAGCTGTAATGGGGTAAAAAGCCTAAAAATAAATTTTTCATTTCATCCTAATATTCATATTCATTCTCTCTCATTTTTGCTCCTTAAAATTAAAAAAACAACAAGGAAAACATGCGAATCTCTTCTGCTTCTCCTTCAAAAACAAAATGGTCATAAGAAACAGTTCCCTCTCTTCCACTTAAAATGCTGACACATCTACTTAGAACAGAGAAATGAGACGCACATGAATTGCTGGGAGGAGCTTAGTCAATAAATTAATTATAGGAAACAACTTCTTCTACCTTAGAAAACATTCTGGTATCTGGGACCCATGCTCAAAACCTTCATCATAAGCTTGAAAATGCTGATGGAACTCCATGATTTTCCTTTTGTTTGTGGGAAACAAATCTTTTTTAAAGAGCGTATTCACGCTGACTGGATAAAGGAGATGCCTACAAATAAAGAAACATATAAAAAGTCAGACCCAATGACCAGAAGAACATAAAATCAGGATACAAAAGAGGGTATTACAGCCTGGCCAGTGTGGTTGTAGTTGGACTGAGCATTGTCCTGTGGACTGAGAGGTCCGGGTTCGATTCCCAGTCAGGGCACGTGTTCAGGTTGCGAGCTCGATCCCCAGTGGGAGGCGTGCAAGAGGCAGCCAATCAGTGTTTCTCTTTCATGATGATGTTTCCATCTCTCTCTCCCTTCCTCTTTCTTTTATTTATTTTTATCCTCATCCAAGGACATTTTTGCATTTATCTTCAGATAGAGTGGGAGGGTGAGGAGGAGGAAAAAAGAGAGAGAAACATTAATGTGAGAGAGACACATCGACTGGCTGCCACCCACACAACCCCAATCAGGGCCGGGGACAAACTGCAACTGAGGTACGTGCCCTTAGCGGGAACCAAACCCAGGTCTCTCCGCTCTGTGGGCCGACACTCTAACTGCTGAGCGAAACTGGCCAGGGCCCTTCCTCTCTAAAAAATCAACCAAAAAAATTTAAAACAAGATAAAACAAAAGAGGGCATTACTAAATAGCTATATATAAGGAGTAGATAGTAAAACAGGACAGAATTTTTTGGGGAGAAAGTCACCCTTAACAGGTTTTAATATTTGCTTATTGTTGTCAAGATGACTTAGGGGTAACTGAAATTGTAGTCTTATTTATCTGAAGACTTTAAAATGCTTTCTAAGCAAACATTCTTTGACTCTGACCAATGTGAGATGCACAGAAATAAATAAATTCAATGCAATTTCAACAAGCATTTATTTAGCAAATAATAACTAAGATACACGGTCTATGCCTTCAGAGAGCAGCAAAAAGTAACCAAAGAGTCAAGGGCAATACTAATCACCACATTTCCTAATGTCTTACAGGATCCACCAATGTGAACCACTGCCTACTGAAATACAACATGTAGCGTCAAGTTTTCCCATGGTAAAATAATTACTGTGGCATCCTTAAGTAAAAGAATATCAATGATGGTTAATATGTCCTAGATTGGCAACACTAAAGACTGTTTATTTCATTTTTATTCACTTTCTCCAAAGTTTCAAAGATATCTGAGAATATACTGTTTTATTGTAGATTTGGGGCATGCCCAGAGTTTGTTTGGTTGGTTGTCTTTGTTCCTTTCTTTCCCTTCAACAAAACACTAAATGCTTTGTTTTATGAGTCTGAACTGTTGAATCCTGCTTTCAGCATCCCAGTATCCCACTGAGATGGAAAAATGCCCAAGGTAACTTCAATTTCCCACATCTCCTTATGAATGTGGAAAATGTCTCTCATGGTTCCCGTGCCCAGACCTTCCCTCTGCCACACAGCTTCAGAACATGGCTGACATGGGCCCGGTCCCTCCACTACCCGGTCCCTCCGCCGCCTCTGCTACTTCACCTGCCTCGCAGCACCTCCCCTCTAGGAGGCGTCTGGGGTGAGGCTCCCACTGACTTTGCCTCAGTCAACTTTTCATGTCTCACAAACATCTCCTGGACCCTTGTCATCTACCTGATGATCCCATCCTCTCCCTTGTCCACTCAATGCCCACTTGTTATAATAATCACAAACTGCACTGAATTTGTTATCAAAGTTCTGGTGGGTACATGACTACTGCAACAGGTAAACCCACATAGAGCACACACAACTGCATGGAATGACTAAAGAGAAATTACTATACATGTATTAAAATGTGTTGGCTTATCTGCTCACTATAAAATTAAAGTGCTAAACTAAAGCTTGCCCATTAATTAGAATTTAAAATATTAATATAGTCCCTTAATTGCCTAGTTAGGTAGACTTCATTAATCCACCAGATAATTTCTGAAGTCCAATGTACAGCCTTCAGACTTTTTATTCCAAAAGAGCAAGATGAAATAATAGTCATTCGTCTGTTTACCTTACTAAGATGTTCAGGTCCCTTGTCCCATAAGTGCCCAAGTTCTCCAGCTGTCCGTGCAACTCTTCAGTGAGCTGTCCAGTGAGCTGACAAAGGTTGAAAGTCCCCATTTTCCCTTTCATCACGACATAAAGTTTTTCATGCAGTGTTAAAAAGATATTCTTTGGAATTGATGCTATAAACAAGAAAACTGTTTTTAAAAAAAGCAACAACCCCTTGAAGCAATTAATATACTTCTATTCTTTGACCAGTAGGGAATATAGCCAAAGTTCACCAATAAGTAAAATAACCTCCTGAGAATAAGACCAGGTAAAGATTCAACCTACATTGCGAGATAGCAAAAGTCTGTAGGGTCATTTACTTTAAGGGATAATCTATAAGTGGGTGATTAAAAGGGTCTCAGGGGCCCGGCCAGTGTGGCTCAGTGGTTGAGCATCGACCCATGCACCAAGAAGTTGCCAGTTTGATTCCAGTCAGGACACATGCTCAGGTTGTGGGCCCGATCCCCAGTGGGGTGCATGCAGAAGGTGGCCAGTTGATGTTCTCTCTCATCGATGTTTCTATCTCTTTCTCCTTCCTCTCTCTCTCAAATTAATAAAGAAAAAAAAATTCAAATAAATAAAAGGGCCTCAGGGAAACACAATTCTAGTGATGTTATTTTCAGGTTTAAAACCTTTCGCTGGCTGCCTGACCAGAGTGGCTCAGTTGGTTGAGCATCATTCTGTGCACCAAGAAGTTGCTGGTTCAGTTCCCAGTCAGGGCACATTCCAGGGATGTGGGTTTTATTCCAAATTGGGGAGTGTACATAAGGCAACTGATCAACATTTCTCTCTCACACTGTTTTTTGCTCTCTCTCCCTTTCTTTCTCTAAGCATGTCCTCGGGTAAAGATTTAATAAACAACAACCAAAAAAAAACTTCTTTTTACCAACTTTCTGGCTCTTTGGTGATATTTTCAGCCCCTTCCCCCTCCAGATCTATATCAGGTGTATCAAAATCACACACTGTTTTATATATCCCAGCATTTTCATGAGCTGTTCTATTTGCTCAGAACACTCTCTACTTGACCAACCTCACACACCCATACCTACAAGACCTAAATTTCTCCTGCTAAGTTCTACTTCTCTTTCAAGCATCTTCCTGAATATTACTTCCACCAGGCGTCCTTTCCTGACATGAGTTGCTCTGGTCCCACTATTTCCTTTGTATCAGCGTCCATGCTCCTTCCACGTGCACCCTCCTGGATGGGTGACGCAGTGAGAGTATGAGTGAGTGTTTTTAACTCACTATTTCTTTTTATTTTTCTTTAATCTTATTTTATTTTCTTCAAAGTGACTTTTCAAAAAATAATTTTCAGTCTTGTATGTTATCATCCGATTATGTGCAGGTTATAATTTATGTAGACTAATACAAAATAATTGTTGATACCCCAGAGCATGCGTCTTCTGTGTGGTAGGGGAGTACATGAGAGGAACGGGAGGCAGGCTCAAAAGTAAATATTAACATGCTTTGTCTGTTAAATAAAAATATTTAAGCATGAAAGCCCCGGGGGAAGGACAGGTATAAAAACGTGACCACTTCCACCCACCTGACAGGTGAGGAAGTTGGTATGTATTTCTGAAGGAAGATGTGACTTTACAGATCAAGGTTTCAAAATGTGTTTTTTAACGTATCTTCATTGCTGCAAGTATTACAGATGCCCCCTCTTTGTTCCCCCATTGACTCCCCCACCACTGCTACCACCATGGGGCCTTCAGGGCACTGCTGTCTGTGTCCATGGGTCATGCATATATGCACGTAAGTTCTTTGGTTAATCTTTTCCCATCCCCCTCTTTTATTCTTTGATCTGGAATTTCCTAGTCCAAATATCAAGAAGTTCTAAATAGTCATAAATTTTAACCCACATGAGATTTTCATGAAAGCAAGAAGAAAAAGTAATCATGCTGTTGATCACTGAGAGCTCTTAAAACAAACCTTTTGTCTTAATGGCAAATAAAAAAAAATTTAAAAAAAGGCGCATGAGAGGCTAACATGAAAAGGAACCTACGAAAGAAGCAAAAAGGGAAGCAGAGAGGAAAAGGCCATGGACAGTAGAAGCAAGCAGTCTCGTGGAAACAAAAAAAAAACAGGTGCAAAATGAACCAGCCTGCATTCTTAGGAGGACAAATGGCCTCGGCATGCACGTTTGTGACCTGGGAAGAAACACAGGCAGACAGGCACCCCGGGAGCATGCTAACCAGTACCATCCAGCAGTCTCTGAAGATAGAGAATTGGAGAAAGGGCACCACTTACCTTAATCGCTCTATGGACTATGTCAGGAAATGCCATTAGTTAAGGGCTTACTAAGCAGTGGAATTCTACTTTCGGGGAGCAGAGCAGCAAGATGCGATCAAGCCAAGAGCTACAGCCTGAAGAACATTGTATGCACAGTAGCAGAACAGTTAGCCACATCTTGAGAGCTGTAACAGGATACAGATTCCAAATATTTTCCACAGAAAACATCAGTGAGGGAACCTCATCTCTTTCACATGTCTAATTGAGATCTAACTGTATGAAGCTGTCAATAAATTGTTTTTCAATGACCCAACACATCATATAGTCTTTGCTCCTTCTATGCCTACTCTAAACAATCAACTAATAGGGCCTCATCATTCTTGATAGGGGAGTATGGATGTAACTGGCAACTAAAACTACTCTTGGATTCCAGTGTTGTATTTCAAGTGAATTATCTGAAAAGATTCTTTACCTGTACGATAGACGGGATTTTGTACTGCAAGTTCAAAATCCACTTCTTTGGATTTTAGAAACACATTAATGCCTTCTTCTTCAGTAACAAAGGTCATGCGAGTTCCCATAGCAAAGACTGTAAATATTGGTCCATACTGAAAAAAACACATAAACATAGATCATATTAGTAAGCATTTCTGATAACTAAGTTACTGGGCCATGGGTGAGCCCCAAGACAGTGTGCCCCAAGAACCCTAATGCTGAAGTTTTGGTCAATAAAAAAAAAAAAAAGATCATCATTATATATGGTAATTAATTCTAAATTTTGACTGATTTGGCCAACTTTAAACTATATAAATCCTAATTTATTTTGTCCTAATACTTAACCTTCCTTCTGATCATGTTATTATTTACTTGCTCCTTCCTGTCTTGAAGTGCAAAATAATTAAAATAATGATTAGAAATTTTACTAAACACTGTGATATTTGAACAGTTTTCAAAATTCAGTAGGTTATAAGCAACCTATAGCTCAACTTTGTTCAAGAAAAAGATACTAAATTGCTGACAGCTTTTACTATAAATTTGTGGTCACTCAACAATGTCTTGCAATCCTAAAAAAGTTCTCGAATGTGCACTTTCTAACTTTCCAAAATGACTGTTTTACCTATGCCACTCACCCAACCCCCTCCACTGTGAGACAGTTCCTGCTTTGTATCTCACTGGGGAAATGGAAGTAGTCAAGGCAGGGCATTCCAACGTCTCTCCTCCAATCCTGCAAAGTATACACACGTCCCCATTCGCCACGCTTCCCTCTGGTGAACACGGGTGGAAGGCCCTGCCCCTGTGAAATCCCGGCACCGCTGGCCTTGTGGTACGGATTCCATGCTCTTCACCTCTGTTCTTCATTTCTGCTTGTTCTCCCCTACGTCATCAGCTTTGCCCTCTCTATCAGATCCATCCTAGTAGCCTACTCTAGTGAGGGGTTTGGCTCCAGGAAGTCCATCGCTTTACTGGGGAAAATAATATGTCATTACTTTCATTGACATCTAATCATAATTTAGCATTTCCTTCCATTGAGAATGCAAGCAACTAACCACAATCTTATCCATGAGTCTATCATTAAATCACCTCACTGTTCCAACTCTATTTTCTTAGATTCTGTGTCTTTCTGACATCCATTCATCACAGACCCAATTATATATTCTCCTGCTCCCTGGCTCTTCCCCCTCAAAGGGGGTCTAACCCCAATGACTAGAACATGCCAGGGGGGGAAAGGTCAGGGAAGGGTCTGAACTGCATGATCAGAGATATGAAAGGTCAGTGGGTCTAACCACATGACCAGTAATTTGCTAGGGAAGAAAAGGTTACCCTGGGGGCAAGGTCCTTCTTTTCCCAATTTTTTCCGTTGCTAGGCACCCGGGGACGTTTGCCCTGGTGATCTTCTGCACCTGGCCCATCGTCCTTGCTCTGCTCATGTCTCTCTAACCACCTACCATACAGACGTTTATATTGTTTTCCCATATTCCCTCTCTACAACTGTTTGCTAGTCAATACTTAGAAGAGGAGCAATTTTCATTGTTTGTTAAAGTTTGGTCCAAATAAGAATTCTTAAATTTCCATTACGAAAGTGTCTTTTGTAACACATATTGGCACCCAGGCCCTAGCGTAGAACAGCCAAGTTCAAATACACTGGATAGTTGAGATAACTGCTGACAAGTGATACTTAAAGTAAATTATTGCAAAATGGCTGCACAGTGCCAATGGTCATGTTCAGTGTTACAAATTCTGTAACAGTGCGGGTTTTTGGTCTTATTTGCTTTCCTTTTGTTCTCATTTTTGTGCTATGTCAGCACTCTAATTGTTATGAAGGAAAGACTAGCACAGGCAGTATGTTGTAGATGAGGTGCCTGTATCTTTTTATTAAACTTTTTATTTTGAGATAATGCAGACTTACATGCTGGTGTAAGAAATAATACAGGATCCTACCCACTATTCTGCTTCCCCTAGTGTTAACACCTTGCAAAGCTACAGTACAGTATCATATCAAAGCTACAGACATTGATAAAGTCAAGATAGACAGTATTTCCATCACCACAAAGACACCACATATGTCCCTTTATAGCCACGCCCATTTCCCTCCCACGCCCGCCTCCTCCTTAACCCTTGGCAACCACTAATCTGTTCTCTACTTCTAGAGTATTGAATTTTAATAATTTTAGAGAAATAGAATCACATAGTATGGAAACTTTGGGAATCGGCTTTTTTCCACATGGCATATTTCACTTGAGATTCATTCAGATTGGTATATGTATCAATAGGTCATTCCTTTATATATTGACTAGTATTCTATGATATGAATGTATCACAGTTTGTTTAAACATTGTTGAAGGATGTCTGTGTTCTTTTCAATTTTGAGCCATTACAAATAAAGTTGCTATAAACATTCACGTACAGAATTTTTTGTGACCATAAGTTTTCATTTCTCTAGGACTAAGCACACAGAAGTACAATTGCCGGGACATACGAACCAGCATTTCCATCAGTAATTTTACCATTTTACAGTCTACATTTCCACCAGTAATGTATGAATGATCCAGTTTCTCTGTGTCCTTACTCGCATTTGGATGCTGTCCTTACTTTTAGCCATTCTGACAGGTGTATAGTGATACCTCACCGTGGTTTCAATTTGCATTTCCCTAATTGAGAATGATGTTGAACATTTTTTCATGTGTTCATTTGCCATCTGTATATGTAAACTGTCTGTTCATGACATCTGCCTATTTTTAAAATGGATTGTTGTGTTTTTTCTTTACTCGTGAGTGTTGAAGTTCTTTATACATTCCGGATACTAGTCCTCTGTTAGATAGGTGGCTTGCAAATATATTCTTTCAGTCTATAGATTGATTTTCATACTCTTAGCTGAGCATTTTCATGCTAAAATATTCCTATTTAACAAATGAAATATGTTAATACAGTATAAGAGTTTTGCCATTATAATAGTTTCCCCTTGGTTTAATGACAGGTTTATATGACATACTCATATGCATGACATGTTGCTATAATCTGAATCCTTTTGTCTTCTCAAAATTCCTCTGATAAAACCTTAATGACTGATGTGATGGTATGACGAGGTGGGGTCTATGGGGAGTACTTAGGTCACGAGGACGGAGCTCTCATGAATGGAATTAGTTTTCTTAGAAGCGGCCCCACAGAGATCCTTCCTCCATGTGTGGAAATGCCAAGAGGCACTGGCTATGAACCAGGAAGAGAGACCTCACCAGAGTATGACTATGCCTTTGGAACTCTGCAGAGACTTTTTTTTAGAAAATGCAACTGCTTCCAGACTGCCGTTGTCAAAATATTGAGAATATTTCATGAAATGGCATGAATAAATGTAGGGACTTTTTGACTTTTAAGAAAATGTTTCCATGAGTAATCCCAGGTGGAAAATGCTTTTCTTTTTTAGTTTACATTAACTTTCTGAAGTTACTGATTTAAGAAAACACATTTTAAAAACTGACTCCTCTTTATAAAGTTCTATATAGCGCTTGAGAGTTCAGTTAATGAAAAAATGTAAAAACTGTCTTAAATAAAGTAATATAGTCTATGAGATAGAATAAAAAGTAGGGGACAGAAACATCATTTCCCTTTTAACAATGACTCAGCGTATTAACTTGGAGAAGTCAATTATTCTTCAGGTGCCCAGATTTACTTTCTTTTTTTAATCCTCACCCGAGGACATTTATCCATTTTTTGTTCAGATAGAGTGGGAGGGAGAGAGAGAGAGAAACATCTACGTGAAAGCGACATATCGAGTGGCTGCCACCTGCACGACCCAACCAGGGCCGGGGACAAACTGCAACCAAGGTACATGCACTTAGCGGAACTGAACCCGGGTCTCTCCAGACCATAGGCCAACGCTCCAACTGCTGAGCCAAACCGGTCAGGACCCAGATTTACTTTCAAAACTGGGAAGGAGGGTAGAATTAATACTAAGTTGACAGTACTAATTAAATCTCAAGTTCTTCAGAAAACAGTTAAAATATAGCTTCATATTTTAAAAGATTAACTCCCCAAAAATGATATCTCTTATGTAAATATAGTTAGAATGTGGGAAATTATATTTATAAAATGGAAAATGCAAATTTTAATTCTACTGCAAATTTGTCAATTACTTCAAGGAAGTAAATGAAGCTGAACCCTGTAAAAATGCAACTAATTAATGCCACATGCTGTACAGTAATGATAAATTCAAAATATGTTGAGTTGCAGTTATTACTATTTATTGAGTTCACTTGCATAAATCCTATGACTACTTGGCATGATTAACCTATCATGTATTTTTGTATTCACAGTCAGAATGGCTTACTATATCATCCATTGATATTTTAATATAAATAATAAAATTAAAAGATTTTATTTGTGGTAGGCAGAATTCTTAAGATGACTTCTCCTTTCCCAAGATTCCTAAGGGTCTGCTATGTGGTGCCTTTTCAGATGGAATTATATTTACTACTCAGGTTTTCTAAAAAAAAAGGATTATGCTGGATTATTCAGGTGTGCTAATTTAATCACAGGAGCACATAAAGGCAGAAGAGGACTACAGAACCATTAGAGAGATGCAAAGATGCACAGAACAAGGGAGAAGATACACAGGTAGAAGAGGAGCTCAGAAATATTCAAAGCATAAGAGGGAGTTGACTAGTCATTGCTGTCACTGAAGTTGGAGTAAAGGGGCCATGTGTCATGAAATGCAGGTGGCCCCTTGAAGCTGAATGACCCTAACCAGTACTCATTAAGCAATAAGCAAAGAGGAATTCCAGTCCTACAGTTGCAATAGAGCTAAGTGTTAATACCCTGAATGAACCTGGAAGTAGATTCATCCCCAGAACCTCCAGAAGGAAGCACAGCCCTGCTGGGATCTGATTTTGGCCTTGTGAAAGACAGAGTGGAGCCCTGCTCCAGCCACACTGTGCCTGGGGTTTAACTTACAGGAATGTGGGACAATAATAGGATGCTTTAAGCTGCTAAATTTGCTATAGAAACAATAGAAAACTAATACGGCATCCCATTTGCTAAGTTTTATAGTCAGGTTCTTCATTGGGAAATACTGGAATATACATGTATGTTCTTTCCTATAGGTTTCTGATTAATT